TTGAGTAAAGACAAATGTAACACCGACTAGTTTTGCTTTTCAGAGTCAGAGAGAAGGCATGTAACACAAATTTCTCCATCTTATCCTTCATTTACGTCCTCTAAACTTCTTCTGTATGAGTCTTTATTTTTTTTATTTTAAATCATTGAGTAAATATCTGAATTTCGGCAGGTAGAAGTGTTGGTAAACCCAACAATGTCAAATGTTTTATTTTTAACGGATTATCATCTTCAATCCTACATTGTGTTAATTCTGATTCCGTTGTAGTCTAAGGAAGGTTACTGAATAGAATAATCACACGAAGGTTGGTAATGAACGATAATATCTAGGACAAGAAGAACGCATATAAGATTCGCCAGCGGCGCGTAGAAGAAGTAGTCAACTGCTAGAAGTGAGTCAAGAGAATTACAAATAGAATCTCCAACTGCAGGATATCTACCAACCGCCGCACGCAGTCAGATGTGGCACAAGGCCGAATTTAATGTGGGTCAAAAATTCCCCGTAGACCCCGTATAAAACGGCGTTAAGCAGCTGTATCCCGAGACGAGACTCTGTCCATCGACATTGCTTCGTCTGGGAACCCTCTCTGCCCGGGGTCAGAGAATTTGAGCAGCACAGCTGGAGACAAATCTCCAACTGCAGGATATCTACCAACCGCCTCACACGATCAGATGTGGCATAAGGCCGAATTTAATGTGGGGTATCCGAGCCCGTAGGCTCGGACAAAAATTCCTCGTAGATCCCGTATAAAAAGGGAGCGGGTAGCTGTTTCCTGAGACGAGATTCTGGCCTTCGACATAACCTCGTCTGGGGATCCTCTCTGCCCGGAGACACAGCTGGAGTCGAATCTCCAACTGCAGACCCAGATACAGTATTTACTACTGTATTTGTGTGAATGGGAACATGGCCATTATCGTCTGTAGGTATGCTACAACAGATTCCGAGTGTAGGTAATATGAATATCGTCATCTATATAATATATGTTATATCTCGTTGAGATTAATTTGAAATAACAGTGGTGTAGTCACTAAAAAAATCTTTACAGTAGTATGAGACAATGTCGGGTTTAAAAATCACTGAGTGCCCTGGGTATGACGATAAACTACATCCGGCAGCAATGCTCTTGATCGGGAAGTTTTGGGAAGCATAGAACCACCTCTTTGTGTTGTTCCCAAGACCACCCTGTCCCAGTGCGGTAACACCTGTTAGGGTCCCAGCGATGAGCAAATAGTTGGCCCCAAAGCTGGGGTCAAAAGACTATGAAAGTATAAAAATAGACTAAAAAGTAAAAAGGCCAGCAATAAACTTTTGAAAAAAAATTACCAGCAATACATTTGACTCTCGACAAAAACCCTCTTTACAAAAATAGGCCAATGAAACCTGATCTTCTACAAACTGATTTCATACAAAGAATACATATACTATTCATACAGGCATAACCTAAAAATCTTGCCTGCATTAAATAACCCAATGAGGTTGATATGCCGTAAGACAAAATAAACCTAATAATCTATGGATCACTTTAAAATTACTTAGCGTTTTTGGTGCGAAAATAGAGCTAGCAAAATAAAGACTTCAGAATGTCCTAACGAGAGACGTTAATTTCTTAAGTAGATAGTTAAACTTAATTTCGTCATGATGTTCTCCCGTGACTTACTTGGTAGCACCCACTTCGAACCTAGAAGTAATTTACTTGGTGGAAAAAGGGAATATAGTTTCGATAGGAATATGCTTCTCGACCTCAAGGCTGATAAATATTAATTTAACAGTTTAAAATAATTGGGAAATCAACTCAAACACGTGTACACAATAAAGATAATGTTTATAGTAATAAAAAGTAAATATTTATTCGATTTTCAAATGCTTATGATAACGTAGCTTATCATTTGGTCAAGCTAGCTCGGACATTGATCAGTCTATTACGCCAACTATCACGACTCTGCATCAAGGTCCGAAGGTCATCAGAGTGGTATTCTGTGTCATAGTATAGCTGGTCAATGTAAGTGGTTGCTGGACGGCCAAACGCGTGTCTGCTTCCGTGGCTAGGTGTCCAGAGCAGTGGATCCATCGCGAATTTTTGATTTACTCGCCAGTAGTGTCTGCAAAGCGCGTTCTGTGTTCGCGTAAGACTGGAGAATTATCAGGGACGGGTCCATAGAGCTGTGATTTATTAGGTTGGTGCAAAAATAATGACGTAATAATGTCATTTTTTGACGTTAAAAATACGTCAAAAAACGACATTATTACGTCATTATTTTTGCACCAACCTAATACTTGGATGTTGCCCCCAAGTGATGTTTAATATAGCACTCAGCATCTGAGTGTAGGTTCCATCAAGCTTAGACTCAGGGTTTTAATTAATGTTCAAGCAGGGGGAACTATACATTAACATCGCCTCTACAGTGGCTCGAAAGTAACTAGTAGGACCCGAAAAATATTATGGTTTTCCTATATTTTGAATTTTCCGATGGGCGATAATTGTTGGGAAAAGTATGAATTCTCTTCTTGACCACCCGCCCCAGATGTGGGTAAATAGCAGGAAAGTCCGGGTTCTATAGCGTTGGATGGCAACTGGTCTACCGCAGAAAGAAAGGGCAACCTACTGCGGGAAAAAAAAATCTGCCTCATCAGACATGTATCGAAAGATACATGATCGCCTAAGCGTGTATCACGCATGACACATAATTGAGTGAGGACTAAAGAATCGGAGATACGCTTTCGAATCCTAATCTAGTTCATTACATTTACATAGGTACTAATACCATTGAGAAATGCATGAGTCCATCTCATCTTCCCCGGTTATTAGTAAATAGCAGGACAGACTGGATCCTATAGCTTTGCGGGGAAAGAAAAAATTCTGAATTCAAATTCTAGGCACCTTCAGGCTATCTTGCTCAGGAAACACCAGTGCGGCTCCATGTAGTGCCCCTTCGACAAGGCACGGCGGAGTAATGGAGAGGAATTGGGGAGCCGAGTTCGAATTCCAGTCCATTACATTCAGTAACTACCCTACAGCTAATACCCTTGGGAAAGGTATGAATCCTATTCTTCTCCCCCTCCCAGCTATGGGTAAATAACAGGACAGACCGGGTTCTATAGCCTTGGATGTCAACTGGCCTACCGCAGAAAGAAATGGCAACCTACTGCGGGAAAAAAATCGAAAGATCCATGATCGCCTAAGCGTGTATTACGCATGGCACGTAACTGACTAACTGACTGAATAAGCTAATTACATTTATTAAAAAAAAAAACTTGTTTTAATTGGTATCACCCCAAACAAGGCAGTAAATCTACTAAGACGCAAGGTGGTTACAGGGTGTGGAAGGATTAAGAAAAATAAACATTCATTATGAGCGGAAAGAGAAAAGAGTAATTAGGAGGACAGTAGAAAGCGATGGACATTGTGTTTAATTTTTTGCAAATTAAAGTTGGCTGGAAAGTATGGAGCCAGAACGGAGTTCCACAAGCTAGAAAAGAAACTGTTAGCATAGAACTTACGGTTGCATCTAGCCAACAACCGTAAATTGATGAGATCTTGACGCCAGTCTGGTACTGTGCTTATATTCAAAAAGGCTAAGTGCCATAGCGGAGAGCTCATCTGAACAATTACCATGAATGTATTTATAAAAATGGCACAAAGAGGCAACCTTATGCTGTGGGTAAGTGACTGAAGCCAAGCCACCAGATCAGGACCATAATCACCAAACCGTGATACACGCTTATGCGATCACGTATCTTTCGATACATGACTGACAAGGCAGATTTTTCCCGCAGTAGGTTGCCATTTCTTTCTGCGGTAGACCAGTTGCCATCCAAGGCGATAGAACCCAGCTATTTTCCCATAGCTGAGAGGAGAAGAAGAGGATTCATACCTTTCCTGAGGGTATTAGCACGTAAGTGAATGTAATGGATTCGACTGGAATTCGAACTCCGATTCCTCAGTCCGAGCCGCTATCCATTACACCACCGTGCCTCCCATTTGTTCGAATTCCACTCGAATCCATTACATTCACTTACGTGCTAATACCATTGGGAAAGGTTATGAATCCTCTTCTTCTCTCACCAGCAGGACAGACCGTTACTGGTCTACCGCAAAAAGAAATGGCAACCTACTGCGGGAAAAAATCTTCCTCGTCAGTCATGTATCGAAAGATACGTGATTGCCTAAGCGTGTATCACGCATGGCAACTTACTGAAGGAAAGATAGAAGTTTTTAATGGCTGTTTCAGTCAAATGGAAGAAAAAGGCCGTCAATTTCAAATCGTTTCATTTGTACCCACTTCTTAAACTTATGACCAGCATTCATATGTATGATTGTTATTACAATTTTTCGTTAAAGTTGTTAATCTCAAATATTTAACGATGCGATAAGGGAAATTCTACGGTTGTTTTATTGTTGTAAAACTCGCCATGAGCTTATTCAATCATTAACTTAAGAGTTATGATACATCAGAAAATTTGAATAGGAAAATCGTGAAATTTTCACGGGTCTTTCTAGATCTAAAATGATTGTTCTTTTTCAACTTTCCTCTCTTGTCCAATCGAAGGAAGGTTTAAAGTGTTTTTTTTTTTTCCTGTCCAAAATGACCAGGAATTAATGGATCTCCCCACGACAGTCTCTCTTATATATTCTCCATAAGTACACACCCTGAGAGGCAAATGAGAATAAGGGTGGGGGAAAAAGGGATAAAAAAGTGGAGAGGACGTAGGGATGAGGATGATGTTATAAGGAGAAGAAAAAGAAAATAGAGAAATGGCTGAACGAGAAAAGAGCAACGGCTGGAAGCCAAAGGCAAAGTGGCGACAAAAGCATTTCGCTCTTTTAATGTTTTAATGTGGTAACTATGACATTTGACCCCGGAACATAAACTTTGGCGGAGTGGGGGGCAAGCATCAAGTGCAACTGAATATATATATATATATATATATATATATATACGGAAGAATGAATTTTAGGAAAAGCTGGAGGCAAGCAGGAAAATAAAAGATGAGGAGTAGAGTTAAGAGAAAAAGCGAGGAAACGAATGAAGGAAGGATAACAAGAAAGAAACAAACAAACAAAGAAACAAACAAACAAAGAGGCGGAGGAAGATGAAAGCGGCAAGGAACATATGCAAAAAGGGTGGAAGAATGATGAGAGCAAAAAGGAAGTGGAGATACAATAGAAAAAGGTATGAGAATAAGAGAGGAAAAATACAGAATAAAAATTGAAATGAATTGTGAGATATACTCAAAGGAAATGAGAAATAACTATAAAATGAACATGATAAACAGAGAGATAAACAGAATGAGATAGATAGATAGATAGATATGAACGGATTGAGATAGATAGATAGATAGATAGATAGATAGATAGATAGATAGATAGATAGATACGAACAGACTGTGATAGAGAGATACGGACAGACTGAGATAGATAGATAGATAGATAGATAGATAGATACTGACAAACTAAGATAGATAGATAGATACTGACAGACTAAGATAGATAGATAGATAGATAATCTATAGATACGAACAGAATGAGATAGATAGATAGATAGATACGAACAGAATGAGATAGATAGATAGATAGATAGATAGATAGATAGATAGATAGATAGATAGATATGGAATTAAACACTACAAACAGTAGGAATGTGAGATGGTGGGAAGTCAAGTGTACATGATGGCGGCAGAATGCCAGCTAGTGGCGCCACCTTGTGGAGACACTGAGTGACTGGCTTTTAGCGAACGTGTTGCTTCATCACTTTCATTTTTTATTCCTGTGCCTTCCTTTGTTTTCTCCAGAATTTTATTATTCATTTATTTACTTCTTTTTTCAAGGGTGGGCGGTCATTCCGGTATGTGTTTTTATTTTGTCGTCTGCTTCATACATTTTACTTTTTTGTGTCTCACATTTTCGTGTGTGGCGTCCTTCAGGTGCCTGTCTTGATAATGGCGTGCAAATATACCGTAAGCTGGTAGGAGAATGTCGCCTGAGGAGCGGTGATTGAAGGAGTCTGGCTCCTATGGGTCGCCAGTCACAGCTGACCGCACGTTTTGGTTGACTTGCTGATGTTATGCTGTCACTAATTCTGATTGGTTGTTTTTCGTTTGCATCCTTCATCATCGGCCTTTAGGCAACTTCCTCGCTCTCTTACCTTTCCTGTTAATCCTTCTGCCCTATTTCTTCTTCTTCTTCTTCTTCTTATTTTTATCATTATTATTATTATTATTATTACTTCCACCTTCTCAGCTACGCTTCGAATTAAGGCCGCATCACGATGAAAAACCGGTTCCCGTACGATTATCAAAGTTAAACAACGTCAAGCCTGGTCAGTACTTTGAATGGGGACTGCTTGGGATTACTGATTGCTATAAGCTTTGATGTGCGCGTGGTGTAATAGATAATGGCACGGAATTGTTAATCAGAGAGCCGAGTTCCAATGCCAGCTGGGTTTGTTATATTTACTAACGTGGATTCATATCTTTCCCAAGTACCCTTGGGAAAGGTATGAATCCACCTTTTCTCTCACCATCCATGGGTTAATTAACAATATTTGTATCCCTAAATCATTATTATTTCCAAAAGAAAAACTTCTTAGAATCTAAAATATTTTCTGACTTTCAGTAACCTACAAAGGGTTGATAAGCCGTAGAAAACGAATCAATGTTTCGCTTTTTTTTTCCCTTTTTAATGAATTTTCACACTAGTAATATCAAGCGAGCGACAAAAAGTCTGATTTATTTTCTAGCACCCGCTCGGTTGCAATATCTTTGTTCTCCAGCATCCTTTCTCGGTTTAAATGTTTTTTTTTTGACGGCACCTTCCTCGGTTTAAATGTTTTGCTTCTCTGGCACCTTTCTCGGTTTAAATGTTTTTCTTCTCCAGCAAGGTTCTCGGTTTAAATGTTTTTCATCTCCGGCACCCTTCTCGGGTTAAATGTTTTTCATCTCCGGCACCCTTCTCGGGTTAAATGTTTTCAGTCTCTGGCACCTTTCTCGGGTTAAATGTTTTTCTTCTCTGGCACCTTTCTCGGTTTAAATGTTTTTCTTCTCTGGCACCTTTCTTGGTTTAAATGTTTTTCTTCTCTGGCACCTTTCTCGGTTTAAATGTTTTTCTTCTCTGGCACCTTTCTCGGTTTAAATGTTTTTCATCTCCGGCACCCTTCTCTCGGGTTAAAATTTTTTTCTCTGGCACCTTTTGATAGTTTAAATTTTTTCAGTCTAATTAAACTTTTTCAATAAATGTTTTTCTTAAATTGTTTCCACATTCTCTCTTACACAACTCACATTTCTTGAGAACAAATTTTTTAGATCTCTTGGAAGACCACCTTTCTTGTTTTCAAAATGTTTTTCTTCTCTTGTGAACCATTTCTCGGTTTAAAAATCAAGTTTTTCTTCTCACCTTTGATAGATGAGAATTTGGAAGACCAATTAAAACTGGTTTTCAATAAATGTTTTCTTTAAATGTTTTTCTTCTTCTCGCACCTTTCTCAAATTTAAATGTTTTCGTTCTACGGCACCTTTGATCGATTTAAATTAAGATAATTAAATTTCTCAGCACCTTTCTCAAAAATTTTTTTCAACATACAGTTTGAATCTCAAATATTTTTCGTTCTCAATTTCTTTCTCGGTTTAAATGTTTTTTCATCTCATACACCCTTCTCGGTTAAATGTTTTTCTTCTTTGATAGATGGCACCCTTCTCGGTTTAAAATTTTTTCTTCTCATACACCTTTCTCGTACATTACAAATGTTTTTCTTCTCTGGCACCTTTAAAACTGGTTTTCAATAAATGTTTTTCAAATGTTTTTCTTCTCTGGCACCTTTTGTTGAAACACATTTGATAGATGAGAATTTGGTTTAAAAACTGGTTTTCTTTTCTGGCACCTTTCTCGGTTTACATTCTTTTTCTTCTCTGGCACCTTTCTTTGTTTAACACATTTGATTCTCTGGCAATTTCTCGGTTTAAAACTGGTTTTCAATAAATTTTTTCTTCAACATTCTCGGTTTAAATGTTTTTCATTCTCTACCTTTCACAAATCAAGAATTTGTTGAAACACATTTGATAGATGAGAATTTGGAAGACCAATTAAAACTGGTTTTCAATAAATGTTTTTCTTCAACATACAGTTGTGAATCCACATTCTCGTACTTTACACAAATCAAGAATTTGTTGAGAACACATTTGATCGATTTAGAATTTTTTTTTTCTCTTAAACCTTTTTCAATAAATGTTTTTTCTTCATCTTGTGAATCCTTTTCTCGGTTTAAAAATCAAGTTTTTGTTGAGAACCTTTGATAGATGAGAAATTTTTTCTTCTTCTAAAACTGGTTTCTCAATTTAAATGTTTTTCTTCTCTGGCACCTTTGTGAATTAAATTCTTTTTTTTTGATAGATGAGAATTCTCTGGTTTTTTCTTCAACACAGTTTCTTGGGTTAAATTTTTTTCTTCTCTGGCACCTTTCTAGGTTTTAAAACTGGTTTTCAATAAACCTTTCTCAACATTAAATTGTTTTTCATCTCCGGCACCTTTCTCAAATTAAATGTTTTTCTCTCTCTGGCACCTTTCTCGGTTTAAAATTTTTCAGACCAATTAAAACTTTCTTTCAATAAATGTTTTTCTTCTCTACAGCACCTTTTCTCGGTTTAATCAAATTTTTTTCTTCTCACAAAGATCTGGCAGAATTTTTTTTCTTCTCTGGCACATTTCTGATAAATGTTTTTTCTTCTCTGGCACCTTTTTCTTCAACATACATGTTTTTCCACTTCTCGTACTTTACACAAATCAAGAATTTGTTGAGAACACATTTGATAGATGAGAATTTGGAAGACCAATTAAAACTGGTTTTCAATAAATGTTTTTTCTTCAACATACAGTTGTGAATCCACATTTTTTGCTTCTCTGGCACCTTTTGTTGGTTTAAATTTTTTAGATTCTTTGGAAGACCAATTAAAACTCGGTTTTCAAAAATTTTTTCTTCTCTGGCACCTTTCCACATTCTCGTACATTTAAAATCAAGAATTTGTTGGAACACATTCTCGGATTTAAATTTTTTCTTCTCAATTAAAACTGGTTTTCAATAAATGTTTTTCTTCAACATACACCTTTCTCCACATTCTAAATGTTTTTTCAAATCAAGAATTTGTTGAGAACACATTTGATAAATGTTTTGGAAGACCAATTAAAACTTTCTTTCAATTCAAATGTTTTTCTTCTCATGGCACCTTTCTCGGTTTAAATCAAGAATTTGTTCTCTGGCACCTTTGATAGATTAGAATTTTTCTTCTCTGGCACCTTTCTGGTTTTCAATAAATGTTTTCTTCTCTGGCACCTTTCTCGGTTTAAATTCTTTTTTCACAAATCAAAGAATTTGTTGAGAACACATTTGATAGATGAGAATTTTCTCCAATTAAAACTGGTTTTCAATAAATGTTTTCTTCAACATACACCCTTCTCCACATTCTCGTGTTTTTCTTCTCTGGCACCTTTGTCAGTTTAAATGATTTTCTTCTCTTTGGCACCTTTCTCTGGTTTTCAAAATGTTTTTCTTCAACATACAGTTCTCTGGCATCCATTCTCAGTTTAAATTTTTTTTGTTGAGAACACATTTGATAGATGAGAATTGGTTTAAATGTTTTTTTCTCTGGCACCTTTCTCGGTTTAAATGTTTTTCTTCTCTGGCACCTTTCTCAGTTTTACTGTTTTTTAGATGATTCTCTGGCACCTTTCTTGGTTTAAATGTTTTCTAGACTTTTCTGGCATGTTTTTTTCTCGGTTTAAATATTTTTTCGTTCTCTTTGACCTTTCTCCAATTTAAATGTTTTTTTTCTTCTCTGGCACCTTTCTCGGTTTAAATGTTTTTCTTCTCTGGCACCTTTCTCGGTTTAAATGTTTTTTCTTCTCTGGCACCTTTCTCGGTTTAAATGTTTTTTCTTCTCTGGCACCTTTCTCGGTTTAAATGTTTTGCTTCTCCGGCACAATAATTACAACTGTTTCTCAAATCATTCTGTTTTTATTTTTTTAATTATTAATGTCTATTTTTAGGGTTCTTTGGGACATTTTAAGCTCATTCAAAATAATTACTAAAATCATCATCTCCATCTACTTGTTTGTTTTTGTTTTTCTTTGGTCCTCACTTGCAAGGACTTGAAATTTATCCACTTCTTCATTCACTTTCATTCTGTGGTCTGTGGAGATACCAAGATCAAATAAGTGCAAAAGTTTAAATATCTAGGAAGTGTTTTCACAGAGGACAGAAGGACGACTCTGAAGTCCGAAGGCGTATTGAGATAATGAAAGATGTCTTCCAACAGCTAAGCAGTGTATTAAGAAAAAAGAAAATTTCATTAAAAAGTGTACTGAACTGTTATGTAATATCAATCCTTCTATATGGCAATGAATGCTGGACAATTTTCTCACAGATGAAAAAAAAAGAGACTTGAAGGAACAGAAAATGTCGTTCTCCAGAAACGCTATGAACCGAATATGAGGAACGTCGAAGTTTAAAATAAAATGGAAACGAAAAGCAATCTTAGACATAGCATCAGGAAGAGACAGTTGAAGTTTCTAAGGCACATAATGAGGTAAGATGGTTTGGAAAATCTGATACTCACGGGACAGACTGAAGACAAGAGAGACGGAGTAAAACAATGCATCATATACTTAATAAGCTTGAGTAAATGCAGGGTGGAACAGGGTTTAGGAGACGTAACAAAAAGACAAAGTTTATTAATAGTTACAAGGGACTGGAAGTTGTGGAGAGTCATGATTGCCTACTTCCTAAATGTAAACAGCACATAGAAGATTGATAAATTATCATTTCATGTATGTATGTATGTTAACTTAGTGTCGGATTAACCCAGTCGGTCAAGTGCTGTACGAGGTACACGCTAGGCGATAATGGTTGGTTTGTTTTGTTTTACGGTATATCAACCACAATGGGTTATTTAATGCCGACAATTTTTATAGCTCGTAATATTTCTTCATAAATGTATTGCTGGTAATTTTTTCCTTCAAAAATCTATTTCTGGTCATATTTTTTCAAAAAATGTATAACTGGGACTTTTTTTTTCAGAAATGTATAACTAGTAATATTATTATTTTAAAGCCGGTTATTTGCT